GAGAAGGAGGGAAATTGAGGCCATCAAGCACATCAACGCAACCAGTGTAGTAAGAACCCAAAATGAGCAGTACCAGGTTTCAGGCCAGCTTTGGAGACCTTGAGTCAGGTCTCATACTCAGGCACAGCACAAGTCACTGACTCAGTTCCCAACCCATTTTGCAGTTAAACCTCCCATCATAGAAAGTGCAGCTGGCTGGCCAAGCTGGGCACAGGGAAACCTGCTTACCAAGAGGCACATAAAGGACAGTCCTCCAAAGCTACAAGCCACCTTGGGTGAGTAGCTAGGATTAACAAGAACAGACACCAAAAAATAAGATAGGTCCACCCAGTCTTCCCCTCCACACCCTTCCAAGCTTTTTTCATTTTGCTACATTAAATCTCTGGAGGGGACAACAGGTTGCATTAAAGCCGAAAGATCACAGTTCCCTGGGCAGTTTTTTAAAATCAGTATTTATTTCTACTCCATTTCAGACCATAGCATTGAGTTACATCCAGAAGCCCCTATCACAACTACAACCATATTCCTGTATGCTGGTTACTGACAGTACTTTCCCCAGAGCTCCCACGGCCCCAGGTGGCATTCGTTATCAGCAGATGACTGTCCCAGATTTACTGGGGGATGCCTTGCCAAGAATGGAAAATTATGCATTGATGCTTTACCTGACTGAGGTCCTTACAAATAAGAAACACCGTAGGTAGTTTGGGGACTTCTCACATAAGAAAGCAGGCGTTGAACGGACCAGCCAGGCTGGCAGATGAAGGCAGGATGGCAAAAGGCTGCCAGGCCAGCTTGAGGCAGCATGTCACTTGTTGATCAAGTTTCTTCCCTTCCAGCTATGCTCCTGACTCTGGAGGGGAATCTTTGCCACACTCAGCCCTGAGTTTCAACATCCTCCCCAAATCCAGGCTGCCTCCTTTGTTCTCCAGCCAAGGAACTCCAAAAAATCAAAGAGCACAAGAGACTGTTACCACAGGACCCCATGTATAACACAAATCATTTCACATCCACTTTCAGGTGCAAAGCAGATTGGCTACAAGCTCTCTGCAAGGACACACTGGCACCTGGGGACCAAAAACCAGGTTGGGCTTGCTCAGCTCTAGTCTGAGTCCCACAGACAAGCAAGGGTAAGTCTGGAAGAGCCTCAGCAGGGAAGGGAACCAGCTAGATATCTGCACTATGGAAAAACCTGGACCCTTTTCTATTCTTTAACATTTTGCCTGACTGGCACTTGCAGACACAGGGTGACAACCAGCAGACCCAACATCAGCTGAAGGACCCAGGCAATCCAGCAGCCCAGGGAGGAGAAGCAGCACCATAGGGAGCCTCTGCCGGCCCCTGCCACCCCCTCAGGTTTTCATACACACAGACTGCAGATTCACAAAGAGACGCTTTCTCCACCACACTTCAGTTCCACATAAATCACATTGCTCGTGTCTCTGCTCAGACCCCACAGAAGCAGAAACTAAAAGTGCCAAATCCCTGGAGCCCTCTAAGCCACAGAGAAGGCACATCCAACACAGCAGGACTCCCTCCAGCAAAACACCCCCCGCACAGCTCTCAAAAGTAGCAAAGAAACCACACAGCAGCCATTTCCAGCACCTTACCTACACCAAAACCCCATTGCTTCCCACGCAGCCTCTTACCTCCAGAGTGAATTCAGAGCTCCCCATCACAGCTGCCACGGATCCTCTCAACAGCCTCTCCCACCTCACAGCTCCTCCAACATCACAGCCTTCTAGAAAAGACCCTTCCTTGGCCCGAGCCAAGCTTATAAAGACTCAGGTCCCCCTTCCTCCCTGCAGTGAGTTCACACCTTAATTTTAACTCCATCAGTCACAGTTGGTTCCCTTTGCTCCTGCTGGGTAATGGCTTGCACGGTGCAAAGCCTGAGGTCTGCAGCACAAGGGGTAGCACCGTGCCGAGCAGGCAGTGAGAGGCCTCGCGGAGATGCCAGTGCTGCACTGCAGCAAAGCTTTGCACGGGCCCACAACCAGAGACATTTCGGGTCCTGCTCAAGGGTGGGGTGGCATTTGGGGAGGGGTTCAAATGATGTGCTAGGAATAAAGGGCAGCCTTCAAAGCCCCTGCTGTCTGAGGTTACAGAGCATTCCCCTCCTCTAATTTTTCTTGGAGAAACAGGGTTTAGCCCCAAAATGGGTGTTGTTTCTGTCACAGCTCATTTCAAGGCAAGAGAGCCCGATGTGCATGGTGCTCAGAGGAGAGCTGGGGAAAGCACCCAGGTCCCCAAGTCACAAAAGCAGGTTAGAAAACATCACCCTCCATCGCTGGGTCCTCTGGGCAGGGTCAGGAGGGTGATTGTCCAACAGCCAGATCAGCCCCTGGCCATTATTTCTTCCATTGGTTGCTCACATTAACACCTAAAAAACTGATGGAAACACTTTTTGAAGCGAAACCTCTGTGCACTTGGAGTGGTCTCACCCCCTGATTGCACCGGAGTGATGTGATTTAAGAGGAAGCCGAAAAAGCAGCCATTGATTACCCGTAAAACAGGGTTATAATCCAATAAATAAATGATAAATCAGCGTGTCTCCTCTTAGCGAGGAGCCGGAGACCCGAAGTTCCCCTCGAAGGACCTGAACAGAATATCCATTATTCAACCCAATCGCAGCTACCCAAGTGGAAAGAGCAGCTGTGCCTTCATGTTTCCTGACACTTTTTCTTGTGCCTTACACCATCCTCTCTGAAAACAAAGTGATTCGGACTTGAGGTAACTCATTAAGGAAAGGCAGGGATGGCTGTTTTCCAGATTACCTAGCCCCTGCCAATGCGGATCAGAACCCAACACCCAAGGAGCGAAGTGGGGTTACTTTGATATGTCCCAAATTAATCCTTCTACTCCCAGCAAAATTGCTGCCCTGGTAGTCGTGAATCCTCCCTGAGCTCCACTCGCGCAGCTTCACTAAACACTTGTGATGTGGTTGCATGCCCATCATTCTGTCTCCCCGTCCCACCACTCCTAGAAGCATTGAGACTCCAAGGGTTTTAACTCCTTCCAAAACCTTTTCGACTGCTGGAACCCAGGAATTGCCATCCACAGCAACCCTGCCGTTCCTCCCTGCCAAACAGCTCTGACGCCGACATGCACACACACAATTCAGCGGCCTTAATGAGAGCGCGCACCAGCCTGGGCAGGGACAATAGGCATTTCTCATTACTCATCAGAGACAGTCGGAAAGTAGGACAGCACTTTATTTGGAAGCTCCGCTAGACCTGCAAAGCCACTTCCCTACAAGAGCCCCGGGATAAGGTCCCCTCTGTGCCGGTCCAGAAGTTTCACTGAAATATCTGCGTCTGCTACCAGTTTCTTAAGTGGGGCGACTGTTGTCTTTTTTTTTCCCCAGGAAGACTTTCTTCCCCATTGTGTGACCACTGCACTTTAAAAGGCAATCAATAGCATTCCCATTGTTCACCCTGAAGTTTGGTGCATATCTTCCTGCTTTTACATCCTTGTTCTCACATTTTAGTGCCCACCCACCCACCCCGGTTCCACCAAAGCAAGTTGATCTCTGGCCCGGAGCAAAGTGCAAAATGCAAAATGGCAGTTTCTGGTGCAGAATAGTTTTGTAATGAGAGAGGAGGCAGAAAACAGAAATAAGGTGGTAATATGACAAACTGCTTACGAAGAATAACTGCATGTGTATAAGAGAGAGCAAAAAAAGTGTAAGACAAGTAGGAAGAGCATGAATAAAACTATGAAACAAAATGTTAAAAGATTTGTTTTGTGCTTGCATGCATTTGTAAACGTGTATGAGTGAGCAAGTGGTGAGGTTGGCACAGGAGAAAAGATGAAAACACGGAAGCTTTTACATCCTTGTTCTCACATTTTAGTGCCCACCCACCCACCCCGGTTCCACCAAAGCAAGTTGATCTCTGGCCCGGAGCAAAGTGCAAAATGCAAAATGGCAGTTTCTGGTGCAGAATAGTTTTGTAATGAGAGAGGAGGCAGAAAACAGAAATAAGGTGGTAATATGACAAACTGCTTACGAAGAATAACTGCATGTGTATAAGAGAGAGCAAAAAAAGTGTAAGACAAGTAGGAAGAGCATGAATAAAACTATGAAACAAAATGTTAAAAGATTTGTTTTGTGCTTGCATGCATTTGTAAACGTGTATGAGTGAGCAAGTGGTGAGGTTGGCACAGGAGAAAAGATGAAAACACGGAAGCAAAAGAGCTCGGTATGTATGTGGGTATGTGAGGGAAGGCAACAGAAACGCAAGGAGACGAAGCAAGGGAGGCCTCGTGCCATGCAAGCCAGCCCACGGTGCAGCCCACAGGTCATCTTAAGAGCCTGCCTGCTCGCAGGGCACAGCTACACACACCCCTGTAAAACTCTGGGAAGTTTCCTACAAAAAATGCCAGGCCTAATGCCACTTCCCTATGGCTGCCCAGCACCAGGGTTCTCATTCAGAGTTCACTGAAGTCACTGGGAGCCGTCACGTCGGTGTTGATGGCGTTCTTGCACACACACTCTCAGCCCCCCCGTGATTATAAGCCACGAGAGGGAGGGTGGGCACGCAGGGTTCCCAGAAGAGGCTCCCAGTGACTTCAGTGAACTGAAATTCCTTTTTAATGCTGCAACTTGCAGCCTCGGCGTTTCTCATGCCCAGGAAGCTGGGGGGGATCCCCTGCACACCCCCGCTCCCCCCGCCAGCCTTGGCGGGGGAACGCTT